TTGTAACTCAACTTTTTTACTTATGTTTTCTTTTTTATTTATATAATATTTATTACTGTAGGTATATTGACCATTGCATGTATTTCTAATAAAGTCGAATGTGATGTTGGAATAGCGACCACACGCAATTTTGGTCTCTTCAAACAAATCTATGAAGTATAAATATAATTATAAATATAATAAATATAATTTATCCATTATACTTACTAAGTATTTATTTACTCCAGAGCCTGAGACCTATCAGTAATAATGTCTTCAGGTTTAAAATGCTTTTCACAAACCCTAGAATTATTTTTTAAATGTATACCCAATGATTTCTCCCATAATTGCAACGCACTTTTGGGTACACCAAAAGTACTGCAATTGTCGTTTTTGGTACAAAGAGGAATACAACAATTCTTAATCATTTTAAAAACGGTTATTTTTTAATAGCAAATCAACGGAATTCCAACGATGATTTTACGATTATATAGTGTAGGTATCTTAAACACAAGTACACAATATATTATATTATATTTATAAAATATATATTATAATATAATATTATAACAAATATTTTTCGTAATAATTCGTCATGAAAAGCTCGGGGTAACATCAATGATAATATAGTACAAAATAATTTCGATAGTATCGCCAGTGATTAGTTGGAACAGCTGATTTGTTCAGAAGATTTGGGCTTCAAGATATGCAATTGTAAACATCGGCCGACTTCCAACCTGTATATCTTTAATCGTGACAAATACAGCCGTGATATCTTATCAATATTAATAATTTGTAAAATTGTCAATATTGAATAAAATAAGTGTTAATGTTGTTATTAATCTACATAATATTTTATATTTTCAAACAGAATAACATAATTGTATAACTTTCATATTACGTAAGTAATAAATATAACTTATTTAACCGTACACATATTTTAATTGATTCACAAATTAGAAACAATGTTGAAGTATACCAAAACAAATATACTTTAAATAGAAAAGTAGTAGATACACTTTCAAAACCTTTTTTAAATATTTTAAATAGTTATAATAGTGAGTTAAAATTATATTGTAATTCTTAATTTAGATGTTAGATTGAATAAATACATTTTTTTCTACTTTGTCTGTAGTAAGTCTGGTCCTTTTTGCATTCAGAACAAGCCCAGCTTTAGAAAAAACTCTTTCACTTGGAATTGATGTCACTGGTACACATAGTCTTCTTAGTACCATCTCATACAATCTTGGATAAAATTTTTGTCTGTCCGACCACCACTTTAAAGGATCTTCCTTCAGAAGATTCTCACTCAGGTACTTGTCTATTTCAATAATACTTCCTACTGTTGAATTATTTTCATTAAGAACTGAACTGACTTGTTCATCAAATTTTGTCCTAATACTTGATGAAGGCACTTGTGGAATGGAAGTAGCAAAAGTAACGCTTTCAGTCACATTTGAATTATTTGTATCTAAATTTGATAATTTTCTTCCCATAATAATTTTACATGCTTCAAATTTATCAATATTAGCAAATCCATATTTCTTAAATCTAGGGTATAGAAAAATAGTTTGTGATGAATGTCATTGCTTTCTAAATTTTTTAAATACTTATTTAAAGTTGATTTTATTTCCAAAGCCATTGCATTTACATTAGTAGGTATATTTATATCATTAATAAAAGTATCTAAGTGTTCTAATAAAAATATATAAAATAAATTCTGTTTTGAAATTGTAACCACATTCTCAGCACTCATTTCTGTTGTAAGTTCATCAAAAACTTTAAGTAATTCACAAGCAGAAAACACTACTTCCCATTCACCATCACTAATGCAATTTAAACTATTGTTAGTAATTGTTAATGTCGACAATACAGGCTCTTTTAATTTAATAATCCTTTCCATTATTAAATATGCAGAATTCCATCGCGTTTTGCGTTCCTGTATAAGTTTAAGATTTTCAAATCCGTTTTGTTTTTGAATATTTTGTAACTTATGTCACGCCCCAGAACTTTGTTTAGAAAATTCAACTATACTTTTTATCTTACTAATAATAGGTTTTAATTTTTCCAATCCGTGTTGAATACCAATATTCAGGACGTGAACAAAGCATGAAATATGTCTCCAATTATTTAACTTAATACAATGTTAGGAGCATTGTTAGTTACTACAGCTGATATTTTATTTTCAATATTCCATTTTTTCACTGTAGTCTTTAAAAAATCAGAAAGTTCCTGAGATGTACATTTTTCATTAAAATTTGTGCAACCGATCAATCGAGAACACAATTTAGTCTCAGAATTTATGAAATGGACAGTTAATGCAATATAATGTTGATTATTGATGGATGTCCAACCATCTGTTGTCAACGATAGAGCCTTCACACTTTGTAAGTCAATTTTAACTTTTTCTAACACACTCTCATACAATTGTAATAATAGACTATTTGATATTGTTTTTCTAGACGGTATAATATAATTAGGTGCAAGCATTTTATCTATTTCTTCGACCAATGAAAAGGGATGGAAATGTTTTATGATAAATTTTGAGATTTGTAAGTCAATAGCCTTTGATTTTGAGAGCAAAATAGGTTTACTAACGAACTGTGTAATGGTACTTTGCCTACTTTGATTTGAAGTTGAAAGACTTACCGTTTCAGGTAGAACTGTAGAAGAAGCTGTATTTTCAGATGTGCTGGTAGTGGCTAAGGATGGAATGCTGGATGGATCATCAATATATTCTTCGTTGTTAGATGAAAGGTTGTTCTGATTCCTCAATAGTTTTGTTAGTGGCACAGTTAAATGTTTGGTTTTAAGGTGTCGTAAAAGATTACTCATAGAACCACCACTGTTACTAAGTTCGTGGCCACAATAAGAGCATTTAGTAGTACTGGATTTTATACATAGTAAAATGATTTCATATTGTGCTTCGTTTACGATTCAGTAACATTATAACTTGAATAATGATGAAATATTTTTAATTTATAACATTTTTACTTTATGTACCAAGACCAAGACTGATAAAATAAGCATATAAATAAAAATAAAAATTAAAAACTAACTAGCTTTACTCTCTAAGCACTTTTGCTCATACGATGACAATTGAAAAATGTTGACGGTTTTTATTATCTTTAATATAGTTAATCAGCCTACAAGTATTATTCAGATTTTTCATGTCACATACAGGTTGAAACATGTCTTTATATGTCCCTATTTAGTATTTATAGAAATTGAAAAATAATATGACCATCAAAATATCAAATATTTGGTTTACAGAATTAGAATTAAAATGTAATAACTTAATACTGAATAAATATAGGAACAAAGACCCAAGCTTGTTCATAATAAAGTCTTATCTTAAGTGTTTCTCATTGATTTGGTAGTACAAAATGTTAATTGAGTTTTAAATTCAAAACTGTGTTTGGACCCAAATTACAAAAAAGTACTACCTAGTATCTAATCAGTTGAAAATAAATATTTAACATTACAGATAACTAGGTGGACCAAAGTTACTTATCTGTGCGATATGCACAAATAATTTTGGGTAAAAATCCCAATAATGTAATCAAACACAGCATCACTCAGTACAAAAAAGCAAATTAAAAATGTATTTATTTTTATTTACATACTAAAAATACTTAAAAAAATTAAGGAATATCATCCCCCCCCCTCTGTGACCAATTAGACACTGTCCATTGAAGTGGTGAATTGCGTTGTGATTGATGTAGGCACTACTATATAGAGGCCTACAACACTTTTCAGCGTATACTCGGTCCGAAATCAAGAGGGACTAGGAAGGGAGTACTCGCACTGACATTAATGAGTATCGAAAACTTTTATATATTAATCGTATAAAATCGGAGCGTCACATGGGAGAGCTAGAATGTCTAGAAGAGCTAGAAAGATTAGAGATAAGGAGACCAATCTCCTATGGCCGCCCGTTCATAAAGTGGCCCGACAAAAGTTCCAAGCTTATTCTGCCACCAGGAGCGCGTCGTTCGATAGCAGTTCTACGTTTTACAATTACAGCATGTGGTATAATAGGGATTATGTACGTTTTTCGTCTTAAACATGATTTATTTTTCCTTACAAATACTTTATGAACTGGATCAGATCCAAAACATATATACAAGAGTAGGGGGATTTTGGTTAAAATTGGTTTCAATAATAAAAACAAAATATATATTATAATAATAAACTATCTAACACATGGGCCAGTCAGGATTAAGACATTTTGAGGACCAGGGGCCAAAGTTGTTTCCGGTAGAGATATGATAAATACTCTTATGAATATTAAAGATATAACCAACAATAATGAACGAGCCCAAAGAATTAATCAAGAACTAGATGACATTTTAGACAAAGGACATTCTGAAAGAATTGAATTTACTTCATATATTCATGATCATGAATAGTTTGACTAATACATCGAGTTTAGTTTTATCTTACTTAGATGGATAAGGTGCTCGAATATCAACCAGATTCACAAAATGTCAAAGGTGTCTTTTTAGTTTAAAAAATGAATTTATTTCATCTAGAGACATACTCATTGATATGCGCTCCAAAGGTTTTTTGATTCGTCCATCGGATAGTCTTTTTGCTCTTATTTCAACCTTAGGAAAAATAACAATACAGACTTTAGTATTTGAAGAATTTAATGTAAATACAATTTTTTCTATAACTTCCAACATATTGTCGGACACCGCATCTTTACCGTTTGTTGGTTGTGATGAACACAATATGGGTTTGACAAAAAGTATTGTACGCTATTTTATTACAATACGTATGCATTTTATTGTAAGACATTCAAACTACAATGAAACTACAAAAAAAAGGAAAAAACCAAGTGTAGTAGAAAGTTGTCAAAACTTTAATCCCTATTATACTACATGCTATAATTGTAAAACGTAGAACTGCTATCGAACGACGCGCTCCTGGTGGCAGAATAACCTTGCGACTTTTGTCGGGCCATGTTTTGTATACGGAGTTTGGTCTCCTTATCTCCATGATATAATAAACTAGGTATGATATCAGCGGACGTATTTATGTTTTCTGTTGCGCAAATATGGCGCTGGTCTTTCGCCAATTTTCATTGGTTTAAATATTATCATAATATCAAACTTTTTTGGCGGTATTTTTTGTTTTGGAATTTAATCATGATTAAATTATCACATTAAAAATATTCAATTTTTGATTTAATAAATTTTAATAAGTACTTCTGCTATTAAATATTTACTAAATTATAATTTATAATGCCAGTTTGTGTATTTGAAGGCTGTATGAGCGGCAGCAAGCAAAAAAATTTAGTTAAACCCAAAAATGTACACTTACATAGGTTTCCTAAAGATGTAAATCTGAGGAATAAATGGTTAAATCAAATAACACGGGGTTCATCTATAAAAAATGTTAATTTTGAAAAAGGTATGTATAGTAGGGGATCAGGTAAGAGTACAATGTTACAATGTAGTGATTATTATACAAATATAATATAATTGCATGCATGAGAGCGTGCAAAATTGAACACTAACAGGCCTATTTTTCCTTATAAGCGACCTACAGTTTACTTGGTACTAAATAAAATACGATTTATAAGATTAACACCTGATATTGTAAAATCAAAAGAACTTATTATCTGTAAAAAAAACTTTTATTTTAAAATATGCTGTAGCTGTTGTGTGTTCATTACATTTTGGTCCACAACACATGGTGGAAAAGCCACTTGTGTTTGATGGTATTGCCTCACCTAAATGTGCAAGGAGATTAAAACATGATGATGTTCCATTAAGGTATTTAGTATACTATCAAAACATTGGTAGATATTTTAAGTTTAAATTTATATCTAGTATAAATGGGCATGAATATTCTTCACCAATTAATTGTCCACATTCATTAATTAGTACTCCAAGTGGAACGTTTAAAGTAACGTCATCATTAGATGATAATTTATGGTGTGTATTACTTAATATTATTATGTAAAAAGGAGATTATATGTCAATCATTTTCAATTCCAGCAAATCAAATGTATTGTCGTTAAATAACTCAACTCCTTTGGAAGTAAAGTGCAAAAAAAATCTATTTGACATTGATTGTGACGATGGAATAACATTTTTGCCAGATGACAGCATTCTGTTGCAGCCTGTTGATGACGATAATTCCAAGTAAAATAATACATAGAAAAATGTAGCAATTGTTCTATGTATTTAGTTTGTTCAATGTTTTGGGTGTTATTTATAAACAGTACATGCATGCATGTATTAACACAAATGTATTTGTGTTAAGTTATTTGCATCTAATTAGTAATTTATTCATAATTGTTTCTGTCTTAACAAGTATTTTATGTTTAGATATAAAGGTCAACACAATCACATCCACATAGTCACCTCAAGGGATATCTCTTCTTTATCTTAAATGTTTTTCTTATACAAAAACCTATATTCTTTAACAGGTTATTCATGTACATCTTTACTTTTGTGTAGTTATGAGTATTAATTTAGTTTTAATTTTTCTTAATTGTCTGTTTTAATAAAAATGATACATGCTTACAGAAAAAAAAAAAACTGTATTATTATTTATTATCATATATCTATATTTTTATTTATTTATATATATATTATGCCAATTGGCAGTTAACAATGATATATACATATGTAGGCAATAACAATTAAGTAACAGTAATAAAGCTTTAAAAAGCTATAACAATAACAAAAAGTATACAAATAACATAAGTAGCCAACACAACTAAGGCACATTTAAAATTTAGATTAGTTATTTATGAGCATTCTGTGTAGTGGATAATTATAAGTTATAACCATAGACAGTATAGTGGTGCGGGACATAAAACTGGACTAGGTTTCGTGTTCCACAGGTAGGAACTTTGAATGGAATTTTAGTATGTATCCAGTCTTATAATTTGTTATGATTATCAAAATTAAAATAGTATTTGAAACAATTGATTGAACGTTTCAAATAATATTTATGGTAAAAAAAATATTTTTACATTGTCTGTAT